TGTAATTATGTCTGTCTCTTTGGTCCACTGTCGTTCAGAACTTCACAACGCCCGAATTTACACAATGTCTACATTGAAGTCTAAGCCAAAGAAAATAATAGTTATAGTCCTGTTAGAGTATGAATATTTGGAGTTTCACTATTTGAGATCGAATCGATGGTTGGTTTGTGTTCGCTATTCGAAGAATCCGAACCGATGTTTTTCAAGTATACAATCATCCGTAAAAGTCCTTCTTAGCCCTCGTGCAGCATATAATTATGAACACAATGATATACTTTTTTGATTAGACACGTAGAATTTTTCATTTAATTTCTCGGATTCAGTTCTTTAAGAACCTGACACTTGGTAATAATATAGTTAATAATACGTTTACGGACGTAGTATCCTTGTCGAGTGTTCATCACGTGCGCACGCGTAATGAAAACCTTTTGCGAATTTCTATACAGCCATTATACAAGCGAAGCTCGTCGTGATGCACATCGACGATTTCAACTGTTTTTTTTATTAGAATAATGTGTAGTAATTTTGCGGCGAAAACATTCTTGCGGTGGTGTAAATACGGTGTGCGGATAAGTTAGTTGCACGTCGTTGGGTACCTTTTTACGACAACGAAATAATGATCGCGTATTATATTGTTATTACCATTCGCATTGTAACGCGTCTCATAATACAAATTATGATCTCATAAGACGACTCGTTGCTTTTATATAACTTTCATCGACTCGTAGGTATTTAGAATTGTTATGTTCGAAAAATGTTTTGGTTTTCATTATACACCAAAGATACGCTATCAACACGTGACCGGACTTCGAACAGGTTTTGTTGATAAACGGATGAGCCAGAGTCGTATCGACCAGCTATTAGTCACTTCCTAATGTGTAATGAGAAACGAATGGCCTGCGAGCGATTGTTATTTATTGTAATAAGACTTATTTTTATAGCAGTTATACACACATAATAAAAATCATAAGGACTTCCCAGCAAGGGGTTCTTTGAATCCTGAGGCTATAAGCCGAGATAGGCTCATTGTTGGAAGTTGGGGTATACAGGATCCGGTCGCGGAGAAAATGGCCATTTTTTGAAATGAATTTCTGTTTACTATTGTAAAATAGTTTAAAATAATTTTTAAAGATTTTGTATGATTTAATTCTAAAACGAAGTTAAAAATAACTAGGAATTCTATCATAAAATATTACTATAGGTGAAATGTAATATTGGCTTTTTTGACAAAATTAAGTTTCCTTCAGATTTAATGGAAAAAATAAAAAAAGAAGACATGAAAAATGATACTTAAATTAATTCTAATATTAAAACTTTTTGAAAATGGGGGGAGAGCATAATAGGAATTATTTGAAAATTACGAGTTAGTTTTCTTCAAAACGTTTTACATTAAATCTTAATACAAACATTTTTTAGTCTTTCAGAATGAATTTAAGATTAATATATTATATACACAGTGTGTTATAATCCGATAATGTCATATGCAAATGAAAATAAATAAATAAGTGTGTTATAAAATTATTGAGTGTGTTCAATCACTTTTCTATTTACCATTTTTAAATTCTGAGTAAAAGAGGAATGTATTTGAATTACAAAAAGATTGTTTTAATCTGTGTATAAAATTTTGACCAGAAAGAGTGCTCCGAGACTTAAAAATCTAGTACTCACCAAATTAATCTAAAACACTCTGATCGGATGAGAAGGTATATGTAAAATTGTAATCATACAAGTCTTTTTATTTGATAACAAAGTAATATAATAATATTTAAATTTAATTAATTTAGATATTCCCAAGAAGTCCCTAAATTTCTTTCGTGGAGCCCTAGGGCTCCGCGGAACACAGTTAACACTATTAACACTCATATTTAAATATTACATTATCTTCATGTCTCTAAATTTATTACACTAAACCACTAAGGCTTTTTTTAAATTCTCAACAGTCAAAAATGTTTTCTTGGGAAAACCGCGGGGATGCAAATTCTGAAATTTACATAGCAAATTAAATGCAAAATTTCTGTGAAGGTTTGGAGTCGTTAGTTTAAAATTGGGGGGTTGTGGCAAAGCTGTCCCCCACCGAACAGAAAATCTGAATTTCTGGAAAAAACGCAGGTATGCAAATTCTGAAATCTACATCGCAAATTATAGCAAATTAATTGCAAAATGTCTGTGAAGGTTTGGAGTCACTAGTTTGATTTAGGGAGGGCAACTTCACGCACATACATTTTTTATATTAATATAGACTTATTATAAAATTAATTATCTAAAAGTTATTTTGATGTATTTTAAAAAAATTCCCAAGACGGCGTAATATATAGGCAAAACTAGTACATAATTGTGATCGAGTCGATAATATACGTTTCTCAACTTCACTAGCGCAAGATGATTTATTTGTCGTGCTCTGATAAAACCCATGGAAATATATTTTAATTGAATAAATACAATTTTTTTTTTGTGAAATTATTCAATCCTTATGTTTTTATTTTTTAATAATTTTTTTAGTAAATATAATTTGTAATCATATTTTTCGATAAGTTAAGTAAGTTAAGAAGATATTCATTCAGTCTTATAAGTAGATATAAAAATTATTATATAATAAGATTAATTATTTTATACCATGTTTAAAATATAAATATCGTATTTGATGAATATACTTATATAATTAGTAGACACAAAATGTTATGAAAGTTAACTTAACAGGCATATAGTTCAATAATGTTGCAGCCAAAACCAAAGCTGCACTTGCAGCATCATTTGCTCTTCCTTACAAAAGTAAGCAAATAAAAATGTATAATATAAATTATACTAATTAATATGATTTATAAATGTTATTTATTTCATAATAAGTTTTAAAGGTTGTATAGACAAATCAATATCAAGTATATAATTAAAAATATTATTACGAAATATAAGCTGAAAAATTAAATTATGTACAATTTTAACTTTATATTAATGCATTCAATTTATTGCCATTCAAATTGTAAAACATTACATATGATGATTTTAAAAACATTTAAATAATTAATACAATTTAATATAACTTATTTTTGTTTTTTCAATGCTCTTTTGTTATCATGAGAAGTACTAGGAACCCTCTTTTTTGCTACAGGTGTTTTTAATATGTTATTATGTTTTGGAAAAAGATATTCATAAATATCATTTTTTATTAGATTCAATTTGTTTCCAATAAAATTTGTCGGAAGAGTTTCATCAGTAACGTTAGGTGCTTCTAATTCTAATGCTAATGCCTCCAGCATAGCCCAGTGACAATTTATTTTTGGATTTTTGATTATTGCTGGGTAATAATCAAATGACAATTTTTCACAAATGTTTTTTGCTATGTTAATTTGTTGTTCCGTTATTTTTGGTAAACTATAATTTGGTTCTTGTGTTTTAATGGTTCTGATACAATCTGAAAATGGCAAGTAAATAACATGAAAGCCAGGTGGATATTTTTGAGTACCATAATCGTCTAAAATTTCAGTTTGAGGTAATAAGGCAACTAAATGACCTCTTCCACCTTTTCGAATTTTCAAAAAGCAAATTATTATTTTATTCATTTCTAAACAACACTCAAGTAAAGAATTAAAAAATAAGGAACTTCCTTCTAACGAAACATTATCAGGCTGAATAAAGGAAGAAGTTTTAAAATGGTATAAAATTAAAATATTCTCTTTGTTTGTAAAACCAAGTAATTTAATGGTACCCGGTTCAATAATGCTGCTTTTTAATATTGGAAGATCTTCACTTTTAAATACTATTGTACGTTGGGCTATAATACAATATTTTCCAAGATCGGATGTACACACTAGTTCATTGGTATCAGTTGTAAATATTTGGCTCATTGATTTCAAAGGTTTGTTGGTGTTTTTGTCCAATTTAACTTTTGATGGTATTTTAGATTTTGTATAAAAATTGTAAATTGAAGTACAAATAAAATTATTATTATCAATAAAAAATTTGATTTTGGACACACTTCTTCCGTGTTTCATTTTTTCATTAATTTCTGACATAATATCATCAATGTTTTTTAATCCATTGGAAGGTATGGTGATATTGTTGAATTTATTCAGAATTTTTTCATAAAAAATGTTCATATTAAAAGTTGCACCAAGAGGTATAAATTTAAAATCAATATCATTTTTAATCACATCATCTAATCTTTTTCTTAAATTGAATTGTTTTTTAGAGTCTCCAATCATTGGTTGATCATTGCATGTTATGAGAATTATTGAGCTACGACTTTGATTTTCATCACATTTTTTTATAAGGTAGTTACTATACCATAAAGCATCTGCTAATGGTAAAAATTGAGATTGCCCATATCTTGTTAAATCAGATAACATAACATCATCAAGTATGTTAATGGTATGAATGCCTGGTTTTTTTATTTGGCATAAAATATTAATATTATTTGGACAAGTCTTATTATTATCATTTGTTCCAAATAACATTACACCTATTTTATCATTCCTATTCATTCTTATGAGTTTCATTACAACGGCTTTACAAATTTCAATACTCGTTGAAAAAAAATTTTTGTTATTAAAAGTATTAAACATTGGTTTTGATGCATCAATTAGGAACATGATATTTTGTTTTACAACCCATTTTTCATTTTCATTATCTTCTTCTAATTCATTTTCCCACTCTAAAGGTGAATCATTGAAACTTTCCATCTCTATGAATTAATTAACAGATAACTAAAACAAATAAAATATATAATTATTATAATGATGAGCACAATGTACCATTATTTTAATTTATTGAATAGTTCAAAGACATGCCGAGTTGCATGGGCATGTAATTATATACAACCTCCCGTTTATTTCTGTATCCCAGAGTTGACCTCACGACCCCGAAGATAATATAATTCGTAATAATTCACTGTCCTCTGCGTACATCGAGTGGCTGTTGCTATAGGCCAAACTGCAGCTAACACTCTACGTGTCTCGATAGGTCAAGCCAATTCATCTAGGCTTTGTGTATAAATACATGGTAATTTATCAATTATAGGAAAACTGCGAAGTCACCCTTTGCAGGTAGGTCCACATCATCAAGATCTACATCCCACATTTCCCCCCTTAATTTCCTATATATTTTTGGTTTATTACATTATTTTGCTATTTAAATATACTTTATGAAAGAAAATCCCTATAAGTTTTTCAAATTTAAATAATTATTTATAAATTAAATTACAAATTGTTATAACTTAAGTAAGAATTAGTTTTTTAAATAATTTAATGAGTATAAAGATAAATTTTAGTATTTAGTTTAAACAAAACGGAGTAAAAATGGAGAAGGCATTTGTTCTGATAAGAAAATCTACTAAAAACCAATCTCCGGATTGAAAACATAAAAAAAAGTTTAAACAAAAAGATATTAGAAGACAACAAATCTTCTTTTTCTTCTTTGCCTTTCTCCCAACTATTTGGGGCTGGCCATATTAGAAGATAACAAGTAAATCATTAATTATTTTTTAATTATATTTTCCTATTAATATTTTTTAAAGCAAAAATTATTTATTATATTCATAGTTATAAAACGTTACATCCTAATTAATAGAAACTCTTAAATTTAATCAATTATCTACTCATAAAGTTTTGAACAAAAAGAATTTTGAATATTTATCAATTCATAAATGTTTAATAATAAAATTAGTACAATAAATTTGTAAACAATATTAATATATATGGTTGAAAATAAAGCTAGGAAAGGGTTGATACAATAAGTTAACAAAAATAATAAATGTTAGATACTTAGAACAAAAAAAGAAAATATTTTGAACTTATAAAAATTGTTTTAAGTTTGTACTTATACTTCATTCAATAAAAGAGTAGGATTGTGTACAAACTAGAACCCTGCATGGACCAGACTGGCCTATTGATACACTGCAAGACTGCATATTTCTTATAAGTGTGCTGGTCTGAATGGGCTTTGACTCTTAAATTAATTTTAGATCAACTTGGATTTCAAAAACTAGAATAGTATTAGGCTTTTATGGGTTGAACATCTTATACTAGGGTATAACTAATTTGGGCCAGTATTCTGTAAATTTTTAAATCTATTAATTTAATATGTATTACTAGAGTTGTTAAAATACGGTGTTTTTGTATTTTATTTCTTTTGTATAATACCATATAAAATCTTGCAGTACCATAAATTATAGGAAATTCAACAAAGGTTATGACCCCATTGTTATTTATGAAATATCAATTATTTTAAAATGGATTAATTGAAAAAAATGGCTAGAAAGTTAGAAAAACACATAATACAAGAATTATTTTATACCTAATTCACTGAATTAATATTTAGTCATGTTACCAATTTGCAATTATGATGTAGGTACCATACGTTATACCATATGTTATATATAGAAATATATCTGTTTTAAATAGAAATAAATAGAAAACTATAGTTAATATTTATATAGTTATATACTACTTCATTGTACTTATATTTACAATATTTGAATATTATAATAGTACAATAAATTGATTTAAGTCATTTCTAACACATGAATGCTAAATAAATATGATTTCAATTATATTGTAGATTTTTAATTTTTATAATACTGTATTTTATTGGAGATCCATTCTATAGGTACGTCTAAAAAAGTAATAGTTGAGTTACTAAAAATAACGCCTTGATTTTTTTTTTATACCGTATTTATAATACTATTTTATACCACTGTATTATAAAAACTTACATATAAACCCTATGTATAACACAATATGTACAAGCACTACAAGCTATAAAGTTAGATATTACAAATACCCGCATTTGCGGCGCCAGGGATGGACCAGGTTGGGCCATGGCCCTACCACTGATCTGACCTTAGACATAATAATATAGTCATTTTTCATAAACAGAAAATATTAAATAATGGTATTTGTATTTTGTTCACTATATGTAATTTAACAATATAAATTTTTATATTATATTGTATAATTATTGATAATATTACTAGAATGAACGTACATTTTCATGTATGAAATGCGTAAAAATTTACTTAAGAAATAGTTTATTAGACACTAATCTAACAAGTTTAAGCATCATATATATTGAAAAACGTAAAGCTAAGTCACTAGACATTGATGAAATAATAAGTAACTTTGCAGAAGCATATAGCAATTGTAGAATTAATTTAAAGTAGTTCTGTTATAGTGTTGTAATCATTTAAAGTTTTTAAATATAGAAATTAGCTCATTTTAATTTTTTTATTTGTTGAAATCTCATTTTTGGTGGCCCTACCTTATAATTATTGGCCTCCCATTGGTCATACCTAGAACATAGTGTTGTGAACTATTAAAAACTTGAGGTTTGGTATTATCTTTATGACTTATTTATTTTAAATTTATAAAGGTTTGTTTCAGGATAGTTCTTCACTAATAATAAACTATGTTTTACCAAAATGTATAAGCAAATTTGACCTTGAAATAATTATTAAATGCACACTAACTGAATAATTGTATGTTCAATACATATTTATAACTGTGAAACTTTTCTAAATTTATAGTACCCATTAGTTGGAACTGTTTATTATACTATTAACTAACCGGACTGATTCTATGTCATGTCTATATCAGTATCCCTCATTACCATTATTCTATATTAGGTATTCTAGGATTTTCAATCTCTATTCATAATTGGTTTGAAATAAAATGTAATATATAAATTAAAACTGATGTAATAATTTTTAGTTTTTTGTATAATTTAGTTTATTCTTTAAAAAAACGATCAATTTTTATTTTGGAATTGTCTAGTTTAAACATTGTATATGTTACCAGCTTCAATTATAAGTATAATTTTAGATTTATGTTTATTAATTTATTTGAATAAATAAATAAATAATAAATAATACCTATAATAATATAATATTAATTATAATAATATTTATTTTTTGTTTTTTTTATAGACAATTTTATTAATATTGCAGTCTTCCTTAGTAATTACTTATGATTTATCAGAACTATTTGGTTTTTTTTTTCTAGCAATTAGAAGTTTAATTGTAGTTAGAATATACCAACAAATTATAATTAATTAATCATAATCAAAATAGTATGATCAACCACGAATCTAAAAACAACAAATAATTTTAATTTTATTAACGAATGCATAATATTTAGCAAATATATCATTATTATAAAATAAAAATGTACTATTTAAATGAGAGTTAATGTTCATACCAACTTTGAATTTTAATACTGTATATATTGATAATTCTTCAGTTGCACTATTTGATTGTTATTTGTATAAAAATACACATATTTATATAGGATGTATTGCTGTATTATGGTTTTAATTTTTGGAAAATATTAAATTGCACTACACTTGACACTTTAAAAAAATAATTTTTAACATATCATACGAATTAATTTTTATTAATTATACTCTTGAAACTAAAATGTTGTATTACAGAAATATCGAAAATATAGATGAGACACAATAACAATCTATAAATAAAATATAGGTATAGAATATAGACAAACAACAATGGGTTTTTGATGCTTTTATCAGTTTTACCGCTTTTTCTAATACTGACAACTGATTACAGTTTTTTTTATCAGTGTAACCGCATATTAAATTAAACCATAGATTCCCAAAGTGTGCACCACGGCTCCCTAGTGCGCCGCGTTGTATGTATAAGGGCGCCGCGACGTCATGAAATACTATCAGGTCTAACATTTTCTTTATGATTAGTCATGCTATGACTTAGAGAAGGGCGCCCTGAAAAAACCTTGGATCAAAAAGGGCACCTTGAGTCGAAAAAGTTTGGGAAGCACTGCATTAAACGTTTAAACTGTTCTGTGGTGCAACCATAGATAATAGAAGAATGGATAGGCCAATCATATATTAACAATACAAGGGGTCGTGGTCCGGAATGTGGATGAGAGATAGACTGCTTTTATATAGTGCACTCACTTTAGCAAGGGGTTTTATCATTAGTTTTATTTCATAATGATAATAGAAGATATCTATAACAAATATTTTTATTGTTAACGCATTTTATTTTAAAATTATTTAACATTTTTACAAATTGAAGTATTCCCGATTCTGTACGAATTATCATTTGTCTTCAAGCTATAGTTCGTACTTGCATTGTTTGTCATGTATCCTCTAAAGATAATACAGGCAACGTATCATTTCATTTGTAAGTATTCAGTGGCGGATTTAAGGGGGGGGCCCGAAGGGATCCCACGGCCCGTGGCGCGGCGCGGCATTGCGCGGTGCAACAAACGCGCCGTGGGATTGGTGGGGCGCGGCGGTCCGTTCCCGATGATTGTCGGTGTTGGTGTCCCGCGTCAAAGGAAAACCGGCGCGGCGCGTGTATTCATATCCCACGACGTGGTGGCGCGGCTTACAATTTTTCTGTTTGGCACATAATTTCACCACTTGCCATAACATAATATGCAGTAGCACAAATCTTTAGTTTTAATTTTTTATCATAATCACCCATTGTTGTATATTTAATTAAATAACAATAAATATGGTAGTAAAAAAATAAAATTAAACTAAAACACTGCGCAACACATAAAAAATACAAACAAAAATAACCAACGTCCGTTCTCTGAAAGGAAAAGAAACTCAATGATCAATGCAAAGATTCAAACTGGCACGGAAATTTGCCGCGCCTGGAAACGCGCCGATCCACGCGCCATGGGATCATGTAGAGGCGCCCTCGTGTAGTGGCGCGTGTAGTGACGAAGTTCACGCGCCGCGCCACGGGCCGTGGGATCCCACCTTAAGACGATTCTCACTAATCCATTTCTATATTGCTATTATCGTTTTAAAATGTTAGTAATTTTACAGTCGTCGTGTCACTCGTGTGTAATTCGTATTTCGTGCTGTACTCGCCTGTACTGCTGTTGTCCGTAGTGTTTTCGTTTGTAGTTTCGTGTTCAATTATTCTGTTTTAAAATGTCACAAAAACGACAAAGTGAAATAAACTTTTTTTTTAAAAAGTTGAAAACAAGTGACGAAAATAATCCATCTCAAAGTGAAGGTATAGAAAATGTAAGCGTGTTACCAACAAAGTCAGAGCCAGCTACATTTTCTGATTCGTGTGAAGTCGATTCTAACAGTCAATATGATATCGCATTTGCTATTGAAGAAAATGCAAATCTAAAAATTCGAAACGATCCAAATATGTTTTACAAATATTTAAAAGAAACGTGGTCACCTAAACAAAATTATATTTTCCCTGTAAGTATGAATAAAAAAGGTCATAAAAGAAGCTTTCAAATTGAATGGCTAAATAAGCACAGCTGGTTAGCTTATAGTCGTAATAGAGAAGGAGCATTTTGTAAAGTATGTGTACTTTTTGGACCAATGTTTGGTGGGATTGAAGGACAAGGCTTGGGGTCTTAAAAGAAATTCCTATGATAAAATACAAAGATGCTTTACACGATTTTAAGATACATATGGAAAGAGAATATCATAAAACAGCAATTGTGCGATCTTTAGAATTTATAAAATGTTTTGAAGGCAAACAAAAAACAATAGAAATTCAACTTGATGACCAACTAAATGAAACTGTCAAACAAAATAAAAAGAAGTTAATTCCTATAATTAAAACATTTATTTTCTGTGGTCGTCATAATATATCTATAAGGAGGCATAGAGACGATGTTAATTTATCAAATCTGATTTCAAATGACCAAGCAAAAAATAATTTTAATATTGGAATATTCAAAGAATTGTTGATGTTCAGAATAGACGCGGGCGATGTAG